CGTACAATACTTTATTATAAAGTACGGGTGGCAACCCTAGTCACAGTACAGAGAAAACTTTCAAGAAAGAAAAGCCAAAGGCACTTTAGAAACTTCAATTTCTAGACGTTTCGATGCAAATAATGGAACTTTGTAAAATGCTAACACAAAGCAGTGTTCGATGTTAAAAAGTGCTGACTGAAGACAACCGTTGAACGAATCCTGATGTGAAATATTTAGAATTTTACACTCAGTCCTGACATTGCACGTTGCAGCTGGCTAGAATGCAAAATATGGACGTGTATTGTTTAGGTATTTTGCAGTCTGCGTTGTTGGAGTTACTGAAAGAACTTTTGTGGCTAAAATATAGAGGTATTCTGAAATTTATTGTATTGAAAAATATGTATCCAATGCTCGGTATAGGAATAACTCGGATTACTTCTTCTGTTTGAGGTTTGCGACTTTAGCTTAGTTGACAACAAGTTACTTTTTTTTAAGGGCTGAAAATCATCGAATGACTGCTCCCGCCTGGGTGAGGCGGAAGGGAGTGTCAGATTCTTACAGACTAAAAACCACGCCGTTCCTTCTCCTGCACGTCGAGCCGGAGCCCCGGTTACCCGTTAGGTTCTCCGCGACACAACAAGTTTCTTAGGGATCCTATTTTAAGCTATCGTATTGGCATAAAAATAAAACGAAATGGACCTTGGTACGTGAATGTCAATTAACATTTTCAATTAAGCATTCATTAGTCTGTGTCTAATTAACTGAAATTTTACACTTCAAGCCGCTGCTGTAAAATTGTATTAACCTAACAACAAACTGTTCCCAAACTCGACGCTCGCCCAAAAAATGTCTAAAACTCATAATTTATGTTTTTCTAGCTTTTAGCATAATTTTTATCTGTTTTTTTTCTCCATGCGTTGTTAATTTATGTGACAGAACATTTCGGAGTAAGGACCCGAGAGAAAGGAAAGGATGTGTACTCAAATACGTTTGCTTATTTTGTTAAAAATAATGAGTTTCGCGCGCAAAAATGGCGGCGAGAGTTGAAGAATGTTTTTATGCCAACATTTTTGCGAGACTCCAGTTTTTCTCGTTCTATGGGTTTTAATGTAATGGTGTTTCGAAAATTAATACTTGTAATGATTTGTTTTGACATTCATTATTGTTAAATATGTTGTTGTAGTTTTTTATGATATCTTTTTGTTCCTCATATCAATCGGACATCAGCATGGGGTAGGTATGTAACCTCATTTTTGGGAAAATTGAGCTACCGGTAGTCTATGAATGTGGATGTTAACTTTATGAAAGAGAGAGTAAGTAGAGAGAAAAAGAGTAGCAAGAGGTATTACAAAAACATTTTCAAGTTTAATAATAGGTAGGTATTTTTTTTTTTTTTTTTTAAGGGGGGAAAATCATCGAATGACTGCTCCCGCCTGGGTGAGGCGGGAGGGAGTGTCAGACTCTTACTGACTAAAAACCACCCCGTTCCTTCTCCTGCACGTCGAGCCGGAGCCCCGGTTACCCGTTAGGTTCTCCGCGACTCCGAATCGGCATCGGCCCTATTGGGCCCCATCTGTGGTGGTCTGATGGCTCTTTGAGGCGCGCGCGGAACGCGACGCGCCGTACGCTCGGGAATAGGTAGGTATAGTTATGTAAAAACAACAATATAACCTAACTATTATTTTTCATTGCTGATTTCGCGAATAATATTTCATTCCCGTTGTTATAACATTTTATTTCTCTTCCACAATTTATTGCGTGTGTAACCGAATGTAACATTATAATTAAACTCAGACAATGATTAAGTATCAGGCGTGCAGTCAAACCGCGGCCATGTTTCCCGGCTGATTTCGCGCCAACAAGAGAGTTGCCACGACTCCACAGACAACAGTTCACGATTTATGCGCCCACTTGTTTTGTCTTTGGTTAAACTACACCAAAGAGATTGTATATCTTCTGTTTTAATGTTATCTTGAGTGTAGTTTGGTGTTCTTAATGTGCTAGCTGTTGAAGACTATGGTGAAAGTAATTTTGGATAGTTTCTCATCAGGATGAATGTTGTACATTTGAGGTATCCTCAGTCGGAGAAGTTAAACTTATCTTGAGGAAGGTACCTACTACGATACTAATGTCTGATTATTGTACAAATTTTGAATCAATTTTCGTAGCAAATTAATGAATGTAGCTGTAATTAAGTACAATACCTAAGCGTTTTATGAATAACCTGGAATATAAGTAACTTAACTCGTTGAGTACCGTCTCCGGCACCTACCGGTGACCGCTACCTATTGTTCTATAATTGTGTCTATAATGACGGTACTTGACGAGTTAAATAAATCTAATCTTACTCTTAGGTCTATTTGCCTTAATTTTAAAAATACAGAACATGTTTTGAATTAACAACGTAGATTTTAATGAGTCAAAAATTCTCGCCACGTTCTAAAATCTTGTGTTTCATCAAGAAACTCCTGTAGCCTGTAGGCTATGTTTTTCAAGTGGTCCTGCCTAGTTTCTCATTAAAGTTTCAACGTGTTAGCTGAATATTCATTCCTGTCACCTGTCTGGCTTGTGCCTTGTTGATTTAGGTCGTCATGGCGACAGTGACACCCTCTTAGCTGTACAATGCTTCGTTTGGGAGATTGTGATAATTCTTACTACGGTTTAGTTAAACTTAATATACATTATGGACCTTTTTGATTTCCTTTTTATAAATATGTTATCTCATCTTAAGGTTTACTCCTTAGTCGTTTAAAAACACTTAAGTGTGGGAGAGCCATGCTTCGGCACAAATGGGCCGCCTCGACCGGAGTGATACCACGGCCTGATAGACAACCGATTTCAAACAACGCTTGCGTTGTGTTTTGTCGTGTGAGTGAGGTTACTGGAGGCCAAATTACCCTTCCTTCCCCAAGATTGGGGAATTCCCCAACAGACCTAATTCCTATCTCCAAAAGGCCGCCAGTAACGCACTTGTAACGCTTCTGGTGTTCCAGACGTCAACTGCTTACCATCAGGTGATCCGTCTGCTCGTATATGAAGAAAGAAGAAAGAAAGAAAGAAAGAAAAATAGTTTATTTGCACACCGTCACAAGGTACAATAACAAAAATATATATCGACTTATCCCATAAAAAAAATAATTAATTTCACATGTTACACTGACAACGCACAGCCTTCTGGACCTGGAAAGCTGAAACTTGGCACACGTAAATATTCTTTGGAAAGTACCGAAAGGAGATCAACAAAAGAAGATTTCCCTAAAATCCCACACCCTCGGGATTGGGAAATACGGGAATTGGGTACTTTTACGCGCATAAGACGTCGTTGGCTGAAGCTAGTATTGTGTTTAATTGACATAACATAACATCACGCCTATTATGCCGAAGGGGTAGGCAGAGGTGCAGATTATGCCACTGTACAATGTAACACCCACTTTTCACTATTTATGTTATGAGTCCCATGTAATGGGGGGTACGCCTATTGCCATACGTATACTGGGCGCAATTCTAGACTCCGTGATACTACTGAGATTTTTTTAAATCCCAGTAACACTTTCCACAACCCGGGTATCAAAGTCAAAGTCAAAGTCAAAGCATTTATTTCAATTAAACCATAGTTTGGTACTTTTGAAACGTCAACAAATACAACAACAATATTATAATAGTCTGTCAGTCAGTCCGTCAGTGAAATTAGGTGAAGCTAGGTGCTCATTCCAAAACGTAGATTCGAATGGAGAAGAACGAGCAAGAAACTCCATTCGTTACTCTTTTTAAAAAAAGTATTTTCTACAATATCGAACCCGAGACCCCTTGCCCGGCAGTCGCACTTACGATCAGCGAGGCAGTGAGTTTAATTAATATTATTCTTTTATCTCCTGTCTCCTGTCATCAAACCAGCAGTGGATAACAAAGTTTCTCTCGGTATTCAATCGATGTAGATGTATTCAAATAGTTCGTTATATTCATGGGTGAGTCTGTATACTCAATGGTATCTACTTCTTGCCCACCTAACTGAGAGTCCAATTATAATAGATGACCTTAAAGAATTGCTCCTTGCCGGAAATCGAACCCACTACACGTTGCCCAGCCACCGCACCAACCGTGCAGGCCAGTGAAGGAAAATAACAAAAAAACAATCCAGTATCTCTTGTACTGAGAAATTCCAATACATAATGGTTTAGATAATGAATTCCAGGAATATTCTACTTAACTAAGATAAATATTTAATGAATAAATAATAACTTTCATTAGACATTCCTGAAGATACGATTGACATAATATGTCCCCGGGCTGTAAACAATATTTTATCGACATTTTTTGCTTTTGTTTCATGAAAAAATTTTTTTTTATTATAGGATTATTATTGATGGAGAATATTTATTTATTTATTAAGGAAAACAAACAGTAACATTACTAAAGATATTTATATATCTGAGGAATCTATTGCATTTTTTTAAACATACCCCACACTCGCCTTGGAATAGAAATTTGAGGGTTATTCCGTGTGAGACTCAGTCATGGAATACGTAGACGAACTATAGGAGGAGACTCAAATAACAAAAACTAATTTTCGATTATAAAAATGTATTTCACTGACATAGGACGTACCTACATAATTATATTCTAAAACTAAATGGCGTTAAGGTTTAGATATAAATTAAAACTAATAAAGTACGTAAATTAAACTAATTTTGCCACATTGCTCGTCACAAATTACAATCCCGATTGTTCAAAAATCAATCCAAACACAAAAGTTTGATTCTTAAACGGTTAGACGGACTGTGACTCGCCGTAATAGGGTAGTTGCCTAAATTTTATTTTAATGTCCGTCTGGTAGATTAATTTAAAACATTAGACACGTATTCTTTCTTTTCTCACAAAATTAACGTATCGTGTGACGTCATAATACGCTACATTTTATAGCACTTTGTGACGTAACGACCTCTCACTCCTAAACTTAACTCCATTTTATCTAAGTATTGTAACTTTATACGAGAAAATAAAAAAATACGTGTCTTATATTTTTTTATTATCTAACTGACGGTCTAATTCGATTTTTAATTTTCATTCCCTGGCAACTACCCTATTATAAGTAGATCAAGACTTGGATTCTCACAGAAAGATTAAGAATTATATCGCTCAGATCTTATTTGTTGTTTCTTTATTTTATAGCCGGCATTCTTCGTATCTTCGGAGCCATTTTCTTCCATTTTCTGACCTGTTCAAGGGAGCTGTACATCCATAGCCACCATTACCATTCACCATCATATAGTCATAGCAGTTTGTTACGCCATCTCCATTGCAGTCCTGGAATTAAAGGATAAGGTAAGAAAAGACTGCCCCGTTGGCAGAGTGGTCGCAGGTGCGACCACCAGGCAAAGGGTCTCAAGTTCGATTCTCGGGTCGGGCAAAGTATTACTGGAATTTTTTTTTTAATCTCAGTACTCTCTTAGTCTTTGCACGGAGTCTAGAATTGTACTCGGTATATGGCAATAGACTCACCGTCTACTACATGGGACTCATAACATAAATAGTGAAAAGTGGGTGTTACATTGTACAGTGGTATTAAGCGCCGTAATGTGCACCTTTGCCTACCCCTTCGGATAAAAGGCGTGATGTTATATTATGTTTTGTTATGATAAGAAAAGACAGTTACTTAAGTTTATATTTTTAGTGCGATGATAATTTATGACATAATCTATATTAATAAAAATGAATCTTCGAAATATGTACGCGCATAACTTAGGAACGACTTTACTAAATTGGATAATTCTTTCTTTTTGTGTTCGTTACTGTCAGGAGAAGATTTGTATGAAAAAGGTCCAATAGGATGCGCGTAAGAAGTCGCGGGAATCAGCTGGTAATACTTATATTGTCTTTAAAATAAACACGTTATTCGGATACGATATTTTTTCGGCTTTATTATAAAATACATATTTTAACGAGCAATAATCTTCAGGTTTTTTCTCAAAATTAGGTTTATTAAATGACATTTTTACATACCTTCCCGAACCTCTGCAAATAGCCCTCTATGATTCTTTTAGCGCAGTGATAACTTCTCGCACAGTCTGACCAAGCTGAAATACAGAAAAATAATGTTTAGGTACAATATGTTCAACCTCTGCTGATTGTACTTGTTGATTACAAATATACTTAGGTAAATATGTAGGCATATGTGTAAAAATAGCCTATGACTTTTTCTAGACTGTCTGACTTTATCTGAGGCCTTAGTACAAATTTGTTTCACGTTTAAATTAATCGAAACGAGTACGTGTTCGGCGCTCTGATTGGTTGCTTCATTGGCACCGGCCAATCAGAGCGCCGGACGCGTACTCGTTTCGAATACTTTAAACGCAAAACAAAGTCGTATTAAGGCCTTTGTGCTTCTATATCTATAAATATTATCCAGATCTATTGAGTATTTTTGCGTGAAAAATTAATAAACATACATAGATAGTTTATCGATACTGACCGATATAGAAATAACGATATATGAGTCTAATAACAATAACCCACCATGATTCCTCTCCGGATCATCTGCGGTCAACGTAATATTGTACGTATAAATGAAGGTGTTGCTTTTCTTGCCCCGACGCTATTCCACAAAACTCTTGTATGAGAGGGCAGAAGTCTTAACAGTTAGGCAATTGTACGTGTTTTCATCGGTTCTTCGTAGACACTCGGGTAGGCCTCTGCAGCCCCTATCTCGCAGGCTTAAACATCGCATTTTTATCGTGGAGTCTCGAAAGACATCTTTCGCAAACCGACAATATTATATTAATAGTGCTTTATTGTATAATAGCCTGAATAAAAAACTAAGCATCTTTTCCATTAGCAAATTTCAATGTAAAGCAGTGGTAAGAAAATTTCTGCTTGGCTTGGACTATCACAGCACTGAGGAGCTGATGGGGGGCCGTCTGTAGTGGTGTGGGACTGGAATCTGGGAAAAGTGCATTCTCTTTCGCATACACTCTTGCTGTCACGCGTTAGGTTTCAAACAAATTCATAATCTCACAGATACACCAAACACACACACACACA